GGGGGAGCTCTGCGGTGCACCACAAAAACATTTTTTGCTTCATTTTAGTACTCCTTTTTCGGAAATCAATTACAATACAGTTTTTTTTTAAATTGCAGCTGATAATTAAAATAACAAAATATACAATCCAAACGAGGCGCGTCGCCTATCATTGTATTTCAGCACTTTCATGCTACGCCAAAAAATGATAAATTCATTGTAAAACACTTCAATTAAAACAGAATTTTTTAATTTTTTAACAACCTAACATCAACCCCAATTAGAGAAACGTGTTAATAATTTATTAATAGTGCAAGAAACTAAATACAGCACATACTTCTAAATTTCCAACGGGCCATTATGACGTACAGACCAGGTGGCAATCGCCACCCGCCCCCCCGGGCCAGTCCGCCCCTGGGAATAGCTTTTTATATGTAAAAAATGGTTTATGAAAGTAATCGGGAAAATATTAATAAACGTTTCTTTGGGCTTTTGGTAAAAGTTAAAGAGAATTCTGGCACTTATGACTTAATCGTTCCCGATTGTCGGAAAAGTGCACGTTTTTGACAGGAAAAATTATTCCCTCGAGAGCTCTTGGTTGTGTTTTCTTTTCAAAAGATTTACTACCTACCCTTAGCCTTCATGACAGTTGTAGGGAAATGAACATTGAATCTTTCTTTCCTGGGGGGCTATTCCATACTCCCAAGCCCCCCGGTTGTATTTCCTTTCAAACATATTTAGTATCGGTAGCATTTTTCAAAATAATCCGTATGTCTGAATGTTTTGAGGGAGAAAATATGACCGGGGAGTATGCAGTATACGAGGATCTTCATGGTAGTTGTAAGGAAATGAACATTGAATACCCCCCAGTATATGTTCAAAGGTGTTAGGATGTAGCGAAGAGAGCATTCGTTCTTTTTGTCGAGGGGGGGGGCAGACCCCCGGTTGTATATTAGTTCAAAAAGATTTGTACCCTATGCATTTTTTAAATGAATCCGAAAAGCTGAACGTGTTGAGGGAGCAAATAATAATATGAGGTTTGGGGGGTATGGAGTAAATGGTGTAAAAGTGAATTTGGCATAGTTGTAGATGAAGGCGTCTTGAACAACATACTAAAAGTACTGATGGATAGTGGTGGAACTAGCGGGTGAGGAGGGGGGGGGGGTAAAGGGTCTTTTTTGGTTTTTTGTAAACAACATGTAGACGGTAGCCCATAGCAAAATGCTCTTATACCCTTAAGTAATCTACATTCTCTACATAAAAGATCCTATACGCTTTTTCGCTACGATCTACACTATTTATTAAGAAGTAGGGATTTACGTGTATTGTTTTTCCCTATGTCTACTTTCAAAAGACAAAATCTCTTCGGAACGGCGCCTAATTTTATGCAACCAAAATAACTTCTTAAAACAAATAAAGATCTGGCAGCCATATTAATTAATTTGAATATTGTTGCTTTGGCTTCCGAATTTTCATTTTCGTTCGGGTGCGATGTATTCAAGGGAGGGAGGGAAAAGTTGATATTGTTAAAAACGATCGGATAGTCTTTGATATTGTCAATTGGTATAGTGCTGGCAACAGTTTAAGGAGCATAAAGGATTTATTTTCGGTGAAGCCGAAGTAAAAATATTCAAATTAATTAATGACAGCCAGATCTGTATTTGTTTTAAGAAGTAATTTTGTCATTTAAAAGTAGACAGGGAAAAACCATATACGAGACCATACACGTTAATCGCTATGTCTACTTAATAATGATAATAATAATATTTATTCGTGATTTTGCTAAAAAAAAGAAGCTTAACACAAGTCAAAGAAAAACTTCTTAATAAATAGCCCTGTATATTTAATGATGTATGGAGGGAAAAAGATTGATAACAAAAAAAGCACGCACAGGTCTAAAAATAAAAATTCGAATCATCTTCGACGATGTCTTGGACGGGGTTGCCGAGCCACTGTTTTCTACTGGCAAAATATCGTATAGGTCTGAATTCTTCCCTTTTTGCATTTTACCCTCGAGGAATAGAGCCATGGAGATTGTAGTGAGTTCATAGGTCAAAAGCTCTGCAACATCTTCATCGTTCTTTTTTGCTATGACAGTTCTTTGGAAAACTGTCAGAGCGTTCATAGTAACTGTATCGCCATTGATTTTAATGCTACTGGTCATACTGGCTTGTGAGAAAACCACATTCTTCTTCTTCATGTCACCAAATTTGCATCCAATGAAGCATTGCATCATTTGGTTCCCTAAGGCTTGGTCGCAGTTTACTTTGGAATTTCTCAGGATGCCCGTTAACAGCGATATGAGCGAATTCAACTTTGTAAATGTGCCATGGTCTCCCCAATCTTAGCTCGATCTCGTGAAACTCTCTGTTGCCGTGATAGTCCAAAATCATCGTGCTGTTCTCCAATTGAAAAAACTTTGAACTTTATGACCCCCCCCCTTACGTCCGTGGTTGAGCCATATTGCTCCACTAGACCTGGAGAAATCTGCTCGCATGGCTCACTTGTTCATATTAATACACAACTATTACATTCATTATGCGTAGAATTGACTATAATTATTACTCCTCCCTTCCAGCGAAAAAGTGCACCAAAATTCGTCTTTACACGAATTATTTCCCGTATTTGGTAGTTTTTGGTCTCCGTTGAGTGGGCTAACATACGACGATCTCATGAGGTTGTAAGGAAATGAACATTGAATATTTCTTTCCTGGTAGGTATTGGAATACCTCCAACCCTCCCGGTTGTGCATTATTTCAAAGATTTAGTACCCGTACGTTTTTCAAAAAATACATTTTTCAAAAGAATCCTTATGGCTGAATGTTTTGAGGGAGAAAATATGATGGGGGGGGGGGGGAGGTATATATAGTATATATATATATACAAAAGTATTATAATGTAGGGAAGAGAACATTGAATCATTTTTTTTGCTTGGGGAAGGGGGCAGACTCCCGGTTGTGTATTATTTCAAAAAGATGTATTCCCTTAGCAAATGAATGTGTGAGGCTGAAGGTTTCGAGGGAGAAAATATCACCGGGGGTATGGAGTGCCCCCCCCCTTCCCCCCCAATCTTCTGGTAGTTGTGGGGAAACCTTTAATATTTCTGTCCTGTGCGGTATTCAAGACCCTCCAGACCCCCGGTCTTGTATTTCAAAAAGATTTAGTCCCCTTAGCACTTTTCAATAGAGCCCTTAAAGCTGTACGTTCCGAGGGAGACCATATGACCGGGGCTGTGGGGGGCGGGGGGGGGGGTGAATACCGTACGACGATCTCATCATAGTTGTAGGGAAATGAACAATCAATCTTCTTTTCCTGGGGGGGGGGGGTCATACAAATCCCCGGATCGTGTATTGTTTCAAAAAAATTTATTACGCGTAGCGTTATGGCCGAGGTTATGACTGAATGTTTTGAGGCAGAAAATATGACCGGGGGGCATAATCCTATGATCTCAGGACATTGTGGTTTTCGGGTATTTGTAAGAAAGCAAGGGATTTCAGTGGCTATGATTTTTTCTACTGCGAACTATTTAAAATTTGGATGAAGCATGTGATTTTTGACGAGTGCGTCAAGACTCCGAGTGATTTCGTCAGCCCGTTTGGTGAGAGACGGTGATTTAGTCGGCTCCCTGCAGAGACTACGGGATTTCTTGTAGATTTCGGTAAATGTGTAGAAAATTTAAACTTGCTTCATTGGAATTTTCAAATAAAGAGTTGTAAAAGGTTGTTCTATCAAATATGTAAATTTTGTATGCTATGTAGGCAAATTCATGTATTCAAATTTAAGAAATATTGAATTTTAAGCTCTTGTCTTACTGAAACTAACAGTACAGCACCCGCTTATCTTGTCCACATACCTCTCATAATAATTACCGGAAAATACGAATTTCGCTCTTCTTTCTCAGGTTGCGAAAATGCACGCGCTTCTGTTCTCACTTTTCTGCTCGTCTGTCCATCGGTTACATTTTTAGATTTCAGCAGACTTAGTTTATATTATGATTTTCCAGAAAATATCAAAGTTATTATGTTGGGGTATTTTCCTATACCACGTTAGCTAGTGTCTTATATGATAAATTGCGCAAGAGTGACTAAATGGGGCTGCTAATTTGACTTCTCATAAAAAGAACCATAACTTAATACTGAAGGGCTGATGCGAGTATTGTTGTTGGGGATCAACAACTTTTAGAGCCCGACGTCCTTGCTACACATAAGCGCCCGCAGTAATTTGCTAAAACACGTTTAATTAAAATGGAGATTTACGTAATCGTTGTGCAAAATTAAGGAAAATAGGTCATTTCACTTTTGTTCAGTATATCATCTGGTCTTCGCTTTGCTTATATAACGCGTTACTCTCTTTCCTAATAATTAAGTGAGAGGATACGTGTCAGGTGTAAAAAGCATGATCCGTTATCGACTACATGTTACTTTCGCTTTTTTTAAATTGTCTGACAATTTTTTCAGTGTTGTACTTAAACATGTCCTATCGAGTTCTCACGTGGAATTTGCATAATTATGATGAAGAGAAAATCTTCTAATTAAGGGTTAGAAGCGGTTAAAAGGGGGACAAGTTAGAAATTTCGCAACTTCATTTCCTTTACTTTAAATTTGAGTCTTTCTGTACTCGCTTTCCTGTGAGAATAGTCTCGTCTGCTCGAGAGGAAGTATGTCGATGGTGATTAAATTTAGTTTTTGAACCTCACTATCGTTCATATCTTAAAAATACGCGAATTACTCCCTACTTTCTACTGTGTACCTATTCAGACAATGATTTATAAAATGTGTGGTAGGCGTGTAAGAATTCCATGCAGTAATATTGGTAATTAGCCTCTACGTTACTACAGGCTTTATTTATAAGAAGGTTTAAAAATGCTACACCTTGGCCTACTAGTAAACATTCCTCAGTTATATTTATAAATCTTATCCAAATAAATATTTATAATCTATTCTGCTTTAGTTCAATTCTAAGCTCACTGATCAAAGACGATTAGCTGAAAATTCAAATTGCTAATTTCTTTTGTTTTGTAGGTAGTGAGCGGTCAACCAAGACCTTGGGCCTCTTTCACCAACATCAGTTCCAAGGCAATTCCATACCCAAAAATGATGAATAGTGCGGAAGAGATTGCAACGTACAACGATAATAACAGCCACTACTGCTCGCCAGTATTAGCACGCAAGCACACGAATTTTTACCACACGCCAGAAAAATCTCCGAAGAAAGACAAGAAATGGTCTTTGGGCAATTTATTTCGACGAAAAAAGAAAGAGAGCGACACCAGCAGCGATGAAGACGGTCACAGAAATTTTCTCCAGAGGAAAAAAAAGAAGTCGGACAAGCGGAAACGTGTGAATCAGACCGTTGGGTTTGATCACGTTGTCCATCCGTCGTCGAGACAAGTTAACGGATGCAAAAACGTCGAGGATCCCCTGGCGGTTCTATCTGAACCAACGGCGCACAGGAATTTCATCCCGGCTAGCGATTTCACAACTAGGTTTGTCACGTTAAAGGACAAGGAAAATCGTCAAGAGTTAACTAGATCGAGTAACAGTCTGGGATCACCTTCCGTTTGCAGCTTGGGTAGGCGAAAAAAGGTGCACGTGAAAACCCGAACGGAAGCGCGGAAGGAAAATTCCAAAGGGGAGGAAAGCTCCGATGATGACTCCCAGTTGTCCGTGTTTAAGAGCGACGATAGTTTGAGTAAACAGAAGGATGGTGTGTCAAATCGAAGATCTCGGGCGGCACGCACTCAACGTTACCTCAGGCGGATGTCGAAAGATGAAGATGTACGAGACCAAAATAAACTCACTAAATTAGACTTGCAAGAAAACCTGAAGAATCTGCAACACAAACCCGCGAAAATTAACTTGTGTTATACTAGGAGCGCTCCTCCGCCGCTCCAAAATTTTTCAGGTTTAACTACCATACCTCCTAGTCACAGTAGTCATAATAAATACAGATCACCCGCCCTTCTACCAAATAAGTATTTGTCGTACCACGCTTCCTACAATGGTAATGGAATCAAAGCGATAAACGATTTCAATAACCAACGGAGTCTATCCTGCGAATCGAACATATGTAGTCCTATTTCTCCCGATCCGGTCACGGGCACTTTACCTCTCTACAAAAAATACCCTCCACCCCCACCCCCACGTGACCCGCGTCGGGTAATTACCGTGCAAAACGGTGAAGGAAGGCCGATATCTTACTCATTCGAAAACGGCTACAAACGGTCACTGTCTGAGCACAAGCCTGACGCGAATCACAATTTTCTCAATAAAAATGTCCGCTCAACCTCAGAAGACCACATAAGCACCGAACCATTGCAGCGAATTCCTTTAATTCCTCGCCCTTCATCCGCAACACCAGACGCAACGCGCTTACAAAGGCTTACTCGCGCTCCCGATCCGACGGAAAACCAAAGTTACCGATATTTGACGGATAAAAATCCGCGAAGCAGGCGGCCCATATGCATTCAGCCCGACTCGACGGACCAGCCCACTTGGTCGCAGAAGACCTTCAATTTTTGGCGGAAGAAAGACGAGGAGTTGACTCGAAATCGAAAATCGTCCAGTCCTTTGATGTTTACCTCCCAAACGCACGTTACCACGAACATCTTCCCACCAAACTCCGTTAGTGAACCGGCGCGCGAAGAGGGCAGTCCGTTTAGGCCAATAGAGTCGTCGCCCGATGAGGAGATGAAGCGCAAGTCGTCGAATCTCGAAGACGCGCTTTGCGAATTGGAGGCGATTTATAACAGTTTGCATTTGGGCGATGAAGATTTGCTCGACAGGGCGGAGAAGAGGGAAACGGCGGCGGCTCAGAAGCGCAAGGAGGACGCGCTCGAATCGCGGTTACCACAAGGCGATTTCGGTTTCGATCCCAACTTCGATTCCACCCGAAAGCAGCGCCAGTCGAAAAAATCGGAACCAAACATCCAGACTGACGACATGGCGTTTCGCAAGCTAAACCGTCCACGTTTCAACACGATAAACCATCCACAGTCCTCAATTTCTAACGTTAGCTACCTGTTGGCGTCGCCAGTCTTCAATGGATCTGTCGACGAATTGCCATCGAGTGTTAAAGGCGACGAACCCGATACGACTCTGGACGATGTTGTCTTTAGAAACGTCATGCACACAAACAACTCCCTAAAGGTTGTCGAACCTCAACCACCATTTGGCATCCCAATGGGACCAATTTCACCCGCCTCCAACAGCGATTATTTGCATATAACGCCCGAACCTGAACCTACTAACATCTGCAAAAAGGTGCCCGATGTGATTAAAGACGATCTGGCCTACCGAAGCTTGCGCAAAGATCCAAACAAAGCAACGGCATTACCCCCTTATCACGTCAACGATGATGTGTTGAACGGGGATTGTTTCAAAAAGAAGAGAGCTGTGCGTTCACTCTCCGCCAACATCGGCAGTTTAATGCATAAAAACGACGTGCCTCCAGGTATTTCGATCCACTACGAAGATCAAAACATCACAGATGTGGCGGACGCATTGGAGATGGCTAGGCAAATTTTACGCGACAAGGAGGAAAAAATCAATGCGACCCGACAGGCCTTCATGAGCGATGGCGAGCTGAAGTATCGCAGATTTGACAGCCGTTCGCCTACAACGCGCTTTATAAACACCGACTGTGATAGGCTCGAGGCCAAACCTCCAACTCCGGATCGAAGAAATTCGCGAACGTCGAAGGAATCCACGCCAATTCCCTCAGACGACGCCGAGCTCAAAAGGCAACTTCGCCAGTCGACCTTGGACGAACTACTGACAAGCCTGGCGGTCGAAACGCGAGAGAACAGCGATAAGATCACCGAGGAGCTCAACGCGATCGATCTTAGCACGATTGCCCCAGGTGAGACGGTTACGAGTAGTAAAGACGAAACGAGTTCCGAGTACGTGTCGTTGCGCGAGAAACTAATGCAGTGCGTGAATAGCGAACTGTTAGCCGCCAACACCGAAGAGTTGGAGGTGACCGAAGAGATCAGAATCGATCCGATTCACGAGATTGTGGCGAATGTGGTCTTGTTGCCGGCGAAGTTAGACGACGATCCGGTTGCGACCGAAGTTTTCAGCGAATCCGATCATGACTACGTTAACGTACAGTCGGCCGAAGAGACTGAAAGGGGTGTTCATGAGTCGAAGGACGATTTACTGGCAGCGTTCGAAGCGATAGATGAGACGCTGAGAAAGATGACCACGAAAGAAAATGAGGGAGGAGGTGAGAAGTGTTTTAGTGTTGAATACATTGCTTTGCCAACTAAAGGGTGTGCCTATGTTCAGAGCTCGCACTATAGCTTTAACGTTGTAGATCACTGTGGTGAAGAGGGTTCTAAAAATTACGTGTCCGAATTGTGTTTTAACAATAACGACAATGAGACTAAATTTGAGATAGGAGGGGCGGTTAATAACTCTCGGGTAGATCGGGATTTGTGGTGTGGTAGCAGTGGAGAGAATTTGGACAGTCTAAAGTCGCCGAAATTAGTACAAAATTTAAGCGAGACTTACAAACGCGCCGAAACTGATCGTGCAAATACTCAGTTGCCCGTAGAAGCTTCGAACGTTTCCAATTTGAGGAGGCACACCCTTGACGAACCCAAGCCGAGTTGCGCTTGGTACGAAAGTCCTGGTACCGTTGCTCTTGCATGCTCCTTTGGAATTGCATGTACTACTGAACTGCCCTCTTTTGATACGATTGCAGTTCTAGGGCTGCTCTTTGCTGTACTTTCGCTGATATTAGCGCTCCTTGCCAGATTATAAAATGCGAGCTAATTAATACCGTTGTTTGTAAATAATAATTTATGTTGTGCCAATACTGTAAGATACCTAACTTAATTTTAATGTTTGCTAGATGCGGATTATGCCAAATATTACTAATATTGCATGTACAGTAATTATGTCGCTAGATTTAAGTATGTTTTACCTTTTTAAATAAATATTAATTGTTATTTGTTGTTAATTGTAAACGTTCGGGATCATCTTTAATTGTGTAAATAGAAAGTTAAACCTAATAATTGCATTTGCGAATTGACTGATCAGGTCATAGAACCCATACTTCTTGTTTTAATAGGATTGGAAACCCCTAGAAAATATTGCGAGCTATTAAATGTCGCGCTATAATTAACCTTCGTTCAAATAAGTGCAGGTAATCAAAGTAATTATGTTCTTCCTACGTTTAAAAGCTAGGGTAGGCGACAGTTTCTAAATTCCAATTTTACCTGTGGTTTTTCATTTTTGCACTTTTTGTTCGCATTGAGTTGATTTGAGAGCACTTCACTGATCGCTAACTAATTTCTGAGTTACTAACATGGCTTTCTCAATGTTTGTCTAGGTGCATTTAGCCATTTACAAGTAAAATCGGGAACCAAGTCATTTTTCTTGGTCCTTAGACCAAGCGGGCAATTCTCAAAATGAACATACAATCTTTTTTTATTCAAGGAATGTTTACACGTAAAATTATTTCCTTGTTGCAAAAAAAGGACGTTTATGATTAACACGTCAAGAAAAATCCGATTTTCCAGATCAGATGTATACGGAAAATCCTTGTTTGCCTAGACATTTTATTAAAATGGTAAATGATAAATTGAATGCAAATTTTACATAGTCGCTTGCTACTGAAATTGAAGGAAATTCGAGTTTTGCAGCAGATATGTTTAGCATGTTTATAACCCCCATAAAATTACAATGGGGGTTGACGACTGTCAACCAATAACAAAGTAACGTGGTACTCATTCACAATTGTTTATCATAAAACCGATTATCCCAACACTCAATTTCGCATATAAAGACCCATTGTTTGTCAATGGTCGTGTTCATGTAACAGATGGTGTCTTTTAAGAATTAAAATGATACTTCCACTAAGTTTCGGCGTACCAGTCATTATGCAAGTACCTGTAAGGAGATCTATAAAAATTATGGTTTTTGGTTTTAGAAATACTTCGAAAAACCAAGTGTCGCTAAGTGAACGCTTATAATTTATTATTGCACTTGGGTAATTGCACTTTTATGTTGACGGTTTGTTTCGTTTAGTTTCGGTGATGTAGAGGTTAAGTTACACTGGTAACATAATTTGTTCACTTTCTTATTTTTTGTCTTGGATATCCATAGCATTTTCCTCTTGTTGGTGGTTCTACACTTTGTTGAGATCCATCAGGTACTTCAAAATTAGCTGCGCTTACCTTCCATTGCTTGTAAAACCCAATTAATATCACAGGATCACAGAATCATCTCTCCTCCTTTGAATTTGAGGCGCTATAAGTTGTTTACCTACTCAATTCTAACAAAAATAGACGTCTGCGATCTAAATGCTGTATATGCCACTCCCGATGAAAATGTTTCCATATAATAAACGCATTCATAGCTGCAATGGCAATAAAGTTCATAACAAGGGGATCTCTTCGTTTGTCTTTTGCACCAACGTATCCAATGTGTCCACTGCACCCTTTGTGGTATTTTGGTGCTGTATTATTTCTCTCTGTTTTTCATCATCAGAAATATCTGCATCTTGACGCTCGAATGATATTAGTATTACGCATTTATTAACGTTTGGAACGTACGAAACCATTGTAATTTTTGACTAAAAGTCAAAACTTGACGAATACAAAGGTCTGTTAGACTTACGAGACTTGTGGCAAATTTGTTGTGCTTCTCTTTTATGAAACAAATGATGTAAACTCAAATTTGGGTATAAACCTTATATACAGGGTGGTGACTTGCGTAGCGCATCATAGGGATTTCAATGTAAAATTCATAACATGCGATTATTGGCTCCCCAAATTCATTTAGAGCAGAAATGTATTAAGGTTTTTTGTAGAAAAATTTTTTACGTCAATCAACCGTATTAGTTTTCAATTTTTTGCATAATAAAGACGGAAAATTGTAAAAATAAAACCCGCATCTTTTGCAATAATCTGCGATGCCATGGAATTTTATAACAAAAACTACGCCAATATCCGTCATGCCATGGAATGTCTGCTATAAAACAAATGAAATTCTATCAAAAAGTATTTAATTTAGAACAGCGAATTCAACATAAAGAAAGACCAAATTACTAAACACGGTTTCCTCTAATATAATAATTTACAGTAAATGTTCGAATAAGTCACCATTAACTGCAAGACAGTAACCAAATCAATCATAAAATCCATTTCGAACTGCTGCTAATTGATAACTGGATATCTTTTTGTTTTAGAAAATTCCATGGCCTCGCAGATTATTGAAAAAGAGGCGGGTTTTATTTTTCCAATTTTCCGTCTTTGTATGAAAAAAATTGAAAACTAATACGGTTGATTGGCGTAAAAAAAATGTTTCTACAAAAACTTTGATACATTTTTGCTCTAAAATAATTTGGGGAGCCAATAATCGCATGTTATGAACTTTACATTGAAATTCCTATGACGCGTTACGCAAGTCACCACCCTGTATATCTCCCACAAATCAACCACTAATTCCAACAGGAAATTATAACAATACTAATTACAACAGATGTGACACAATTATCTAATATACAGGGTGGTGACTTGATGAACGTACCATAGGAATTTCAATAGTAATTTTTTAATTTCCGATTATTGGCTTCCCTAATTATTTTAGAGATAAAGTCTATTTAGGAATCCGTACATACTATTGTTTCCCATTTTATAAATTCGGAAACAGTAAAAATTTTAAAACTAAAAAATTTCCCATTTTGTTGTTGTTAGCTTTGTTTGATCTCAAATTACCATGGCACCACTGATTTTCTTAAAAGCGCCAGTGTTTAGTTATCCAATTTCTTGGATTTCAAAAAATTAAAAGCTACAGTATGCATTGATTCGTAATTTTTTTCTCTACAAAAAACCTAAATATAATTTATCTCTAAAACAATTAGGGAGAGCCCAATAATCAGAAATGAAAAAATTACTAGGTGCGTTGTTCAAGTCACCACCCGGTATTAGATACAATAGAAGTTGGTCCGCATATCTCAAGAAAAGGCTCTTTCAATAAATTAATTAGTATACAAGGTGTCCCAGGAGGAATGGGCAATATTTTGGGAAATTAAAGTACCTAGTGATTATTTCACAAAAACGCTAATAATAGTTGTTTATTATATAAGACGATAAAGGGGTATTTTAATCATAGAGTTAATTAACTTTCACGAAATAGTTAGTTTCCCTTTCTCCTCGTGTATAATACAAAACTTTATTTTATAGCAGATACTATATAAATCATATTAAAGCTTCTGAATTTAATTTACGCGTCCAAAATAGCAATCTTAGGTTCTGCCGCCGCGGTCGTTTTCGTAGAAACAGCATATCACATGTTCTGAACGTCATTTTATATTATGCTTCACGTTCTATTTGGAATAAAAATGACAGATGTGATTGGAAGGCACAAGCATCTGTTTCGCTTTATCTACCCTTACGGTTACGGCTTAGTCCATTCGAACCTTAAAACGTCAATTTAAATATGCTGTAAAATAAACTATATTTTTATTCTCAACCGTTGTCAAGATATAGCCAACAATTGTAATTTTATTTTAACTAGTTAGTTTTAATAAGGCGGCTATAAATCAATTGTCTCTAGCCAAATATAGTCAGCTTGGGGTAACAATTGAATTGTTTTGAAACAGTATGACTGCATCAAAGGTTCAACAATTCCACCCTGTACGTTAATTTTATGCTAATGCTTTATGCTTTTCTTTTGAACCCTGTACCTCTATGACTCCGTTCATTCGAGTTTCAAAAAGTCTTCCAAAATCAACAATACTGACTTGATGCTACATGAGAATGATTTAAATATTGATCGCTCTTCTACAGGGTGTTTTAAAACTAGTGGTCAATTTTAATAACTTCAAACCTTAAAAGTTGATTTTTGCTAATACAACATGCTTTATTTTTTTGCACTTTCACCTGCTGACAAAAATTGTACATTACATTCCATAATACCTGTCTGGTATGATTTGGTGTATTTCGACTTCTGTCATTTTTCTTGCACTTAACAGTTCCAAAACGCAAAAAGTTGGATTCTAATCTTCTAAATTGTGTAGGATTCATGGGAGGCATGTACATTTTGCATGTTCTGCTAACAACCTTGTTATATTCACCGTGTATGTAAAATAAATGCCTTATGCCTGCCTAAATCGCTTATCCCATTGCGATGAAACTTTGGTTCGGCGTATGACCACGAAGGTTTCTATGCAGGGTGTTATATATAAGCAATTAAAGGAAAGTGGGTGGCAGCGGGGATCAAAACAATCACATTTTCCAAATAAACCGAAGATCCAACGTGTTTTGTTTGGGAGCTACCCTAAAAAAGTGGTGAAATTGGCATTTCTTCTTTAATTGTTTTCTCAGAAACCATACAAAGAGTGGCGGCCCGTCTTTGAATACGTGGAATTTTTTTTCTTCCCCCGATTAATACACTCCAATAATATTCGACGAATCAGCGTGACTTTTGTTTCAAAGTCGAACCAATCAGATAATTTGTTAAGTGATTAAAAGCTAGGCAGCTTTTTATCAGTGATTATGACTGATTAAAATTTGTGGAGGAATGGGTAAGGTATAAAGTGTTTGTGAAATGTATTCTCTTGTATTAATCTCACTTGATCTTGATTTTAAATCAGGATAATTTTATTTTTAATAATAAAAAATTTTATTTTTAATAATAAAATTATTAATAAAATCGCTCCAGCTCGCTTTTAATCTCGAGTTTTTTCCGTTACATTAAACATTTTTGTAAAAATAAAATTATCCGATTAAAAATCAAGCTCTTGTGTATTGACCCCCGAATAATCCCTCCTAAGCAAGCCTTGATTTTTGAAGTTGAGGAATATATGTGATCAATAATGTTAATCTGAGTCAAGGGCAATACTTTGATAATGAGAACATTGGATTTAGTGATACAGAATATTCACAAGGAAATGGTAAAATTTCCAAACTTCAAAGTGTCATAACTATTTATAGATAATTAT